TGCATGTATGAATGTGCCTTTCCTTCACATCCCACAATTCCATTGCCTCTACGACTTGTTAAGTTCTCATTGCCAGCAAGAAGTGTGAAACGTATTTATGTATTTATTTCACTTCTATACTGTCCAATAGCTGAAGTTTTATGGGCCCCTCAAATGAGGTCCATACGAAGAATGATGTGCCATATCCTTTCATTCTACTGGTGCTACAATCTGCCTCACAGTCTGTTACCATGGGGAACATTAAAAACAAATTCCTTCTAATTTTTTTGTAGTAAATGGGGCTGATAAATTTACTGTTACTTGGAAAGGATCTCCCTCCACTAAATGTTCTGGTACTGTTTTGTCATAGCTCTCCGAACCTCAATGCATGCTTGGTTCTTCTGTTGATTAGATAGCAAATGAGTACTTCCCCAGTGGATAGGAAGTTAAAACTAGATACAGATATAATGATGAGTTATAATGAGGCATAACTGACAGAGAGAATTATCCAGATTATAGTAGGACTTCTTCAATCCCAGGTATAAGCACATAGAATACAGAAAATAGACTGAAGTGCTCAGATCATCTGCATTTTCAGTGTTATAGAATAAAATCTAGACTAGCTTAATTACACTAAAAGACTCCACAAACCTTACATCTATATATTGAAAAACATTTCTAGGCTGCTTTTAGGGGTAGAACTTTAGACAAGACAAAAATATGAGATTCCTAAATTTTGGGACATCATGTGAGCCACAACACATGATGTTATAATTCTGTCTCAGAGTTGATATAGCAGAAGAATTTTGGAACTGTTTAATTGCTGTCATTTTTTATGGCATACAAACAATTTTTCAGTTGCCTTCCATCTCATCTCATTTCCATTTACAGTAGCAATGCGAACACATCACAAAGACTGGCTACAAGTGATTTAATTTAATGAACAAAATCCAGCAAGAACATAACATTGTAGATATCATTATTCTCATATCATTGTTCATCAAAAATTTCACGTATATGCAATCCTTTTTCAAAATACTAGTATCCAACCCCCCCTCCAAAAAAAACCCCAAATAAAATAGGGTAATAATGATACAAGTGCCAATTATTCAGATGATGTTGCAAAGCAGAAAATGTGTCAGGTCATTTATCAAGGAACACAAGGGATTTTATGTGTTCAAGTCAAATGACAGATTTGTGACAGCAGAGGTGGTGGCTGATAGAGCTTTAATTACATATCAGAATATAAATACCTTGTCTAGTAATACCTCATTTGTTTATTGATCAATATTCAAATATACAAAGAAAAACGGAAAACAGTTAATTATGTAAGTCTTAAGTCTATCTTAAGACACTTATCTTCTACCTGGAGTCCTGAACCAGAAGCAATTATAAAGGTGGGTATTTCATTTTGCGGAAGTATATAGTTTTATTCTTTTAAACTCTATTTTCCAGTGGTGCCTATACTTGCAACTAGAAATTTATGATGACTCAATTAATGCTCCTGCTGCTGCTGCTAATCCATGAAAAAAAATTAGCCACAGCTCCAAAGATTTGCCAGAGGCAGATGGCATTTACACATAACTGACAGAAGACTTGACACTGAGCACAAGATTTAAGAGTAGAAGAGACTAAATTCAAATATGCCTCAATTATCTCTCACCAACAGTGGGAATTAAGGAGAACATTTGTGATGGATTTTAATTGCTGTAGGATCCTCTGGGAGCCAATTTTAGGTGAAAACCAAAGGAAAGTGGGGAAAAGGGGCTTGGGTCAAAGTTGTGTAAGCAGAATCCCACTGAAGAAATGGGGTTTTTCTACATCCTTTTTCCTGCTACCCCTGTCCAAAGCCTGTCCAGGGAAACCTTCCAGTGTACTCAGCTTATGCATTGGCCTGTTACCACTGATTCCGCCTTCCCATACAGTCTTTTGAGCTACAACCCACACTGTTCAGGAAGGTCTCTGGACCTCCAGAAGTAGTTTTTCATGGGGCAAGGGGGAAGTAGTTTTTCATGGGGCAAGGGGGAAGTAGTTTTTCATGGGGCATCCAGGATAGCATGTGCATATATATACATATACATATATATGAAGAGAGCTAAAACACAAATTCATTTCTGCTCCAAAAGCACAGACATTTTAAGTTAAGGCATCAACCTTAACGTGCCCTCCATGAAAGTAACAAAGAGGCTGATAACCTTGAATATTATGCTAACTTACAAACAAGTTGACATACTGGCATGTTATACCTTTGTCTTTCAGCAACAGCAAAACTGGTTTTATATAGAAATTTAATAAGAATTTGGTTACAAATTTAAATTAATAGCATGGAATGCCCAGTGTGGAGAATATAGGGGACCACAGCAACACTCATCTGGAAATAAATCCTAGTGGTGTTTACAAATCCCATTAAGTGGGAACTAAGAAAGAGGCAAGATAGTGAAGGAAATGGGAAAGGCACCACAGAGAATAAATAGAATGGACAACATGACAGGAGAGTACGGGGGACTGCAAGAAACTCAGTGGAATGGGACTAAAACTGTGACAGAGTTTCTCAGTGAAAGGAGAGATTGAGAAGACCAGTGGAGACCGAGGTCTACCATGTTACAACACATGCTATTTCACCAGCTCATGGTGCTATTTGTGCCTCAGTTTTCTGATCAGAGATGTAGCTCATTGAACAGACCAAGCCCCTTGGCCTTTTTTGAAGCAACTAGACTGCAGGAGGCCGCAAACTGGAGTCATAATTCCTGTGATGGGAGCCTAGTGGTTCAGAACCAGAAGAGGCTGGCACCCTGGACTTCTTTCTATGATAGCACAGTGAATGGGAGATAGTTTAGAGTGGACTGAAGGCTGGAAGTCAAGACCACTTGGGGTGACTGGAGGAATAAAGGCAATGGTGTGTTGAAATGATGGAAGCTCTTCCAGAAGTCTACAGACCCAGTTATCTTGAGTTATGCAAGCATTCTTGCTACAATCCATTATAGGCAAATTATGTTCCCCACAGAAGGAAACCAAACCTCCCTGCGTGTGGAAAACTAGTCAGTCACAGAGAATATTAGAGCTCTTCTATCTGTCATGTTAGTTTTTCACAGGAAGCACATTTTTCATATGACGGCATATTCATTCATGAGGCTCTTCACTTGTAGGCTGAAGCACAGAAAGGGCCACCCCAGATGACATTTCTGAACTTCAGCTCTGCATTCGACGGGCAAGACTACAGGGTTTGTTAAGGAACAGTCATGAAAGGAAAAGGGTAACCATTAGGTGGCTGCACAGCAATAATGATGAAGGGAACTCAGAAAATATTCCATGGATGGCAAGTTCTATCTACATTGTGGAATATATATCACTTGCCAAATACATTTCACAGCTTCCAAGTGACTTCACAGAATGTAATATTACACTATACACTGTGCTGTAAGAACAAGAATAAAGCAGAGGGAAGTTTAACTGTTGAACTACAATACATGTTTAGGTGTGGTATCAAGGGCATGTCTGGGGAAAGTCATCTGTAGAATATCAGATTAAATAAGGCTAGAGAACATGAACGGTGGGTTGACATGAAGAATCAAAAAGAAAGAGCTACGCAAGTTTATTGTAACTTGCAGCACCCTTGGAATTTCATGCACTTTCAAAGAAAGGAAAGGAAAGGAAAGGAAAGGAAAGGAAAGGAAAGGAAAGGAAAGGAAAGATCATGCCGGATGCTTCGCAATGGCTGGTATATCAATGAAATATCCTGAATTAATAATGAAGATAAAACCCTCACATGGCATATGCAGAGTTTGCACTAGACTCATTTTGACAGGTGACTTGAAGACTGTGCATCTCATCATGTGAAATTAAGCATTTAAAAAGGCACTGGCAGGTGTGAATGGCCTTTTTAAAGTACCAGCGTATGTATAGAACCACCAGTCGCAAACACAAGGTGCCATACTGCCGGAATAATTGTGAAAACATTTAAAAGGTTAATGTCATTTGATTTCTGAAACAATGATGAAATAAGCAGCATTTAGAGACAAATTTACCAAAAGCAGAATTCTGCTGCTTTAAGTTTAAAGTTACAGTGATAAACTGGATGCTTAAAATGTTTGGCATACAGGTACACCTTTCATCATGTCTGGTCTCAAGTGTCAAGGAAGCATGGAGAAAAGACAGGTTTCAATGTTGAACAGCTGCTCAGCTCTACAACTCACAAGGTAGGGTTTATTACTATGCAGTCTTTCATATTTTAAAATTCCGAGAACACTGTTATATGTAGCCCAGAGGGTCATGCGCTGGTGAACCAGAATATCCCTAGCATTGCATCCCATAAAAACTTCAAATACCTATAGAGGAGAGGAATTGGTAAGAGCCAACTCTAGTATTCTGATGCAGGGGAGGGTTTGTAGCTCAACAGCAGCACACTTGTTTTGCATGCGGGTCTCTGTTGTGACCCCTGAACCTCCAGTTAGGGCAGGAAAAACTCCGGCCTCAATCTCTGGGGAGCCATTGCCAGGCCATGTTGATACAAGGCAGCATCAGGCAGTACAAGGTCTGACTCAGGACAAGGCAGCTTACTGTCTTCCTAAGACTGAACTTGGACTTTGGAGAGTATAGTACATAATTTAAACAAGCTGCCCAAATGTCTATTAATGAACTTTTTTATTTTTTATTTTAAACAGGAAACCACATGTGCCTTTGTCCTGTGCCTGAAGCTATCAGACATTTAGAAATGGATTTAAAGGCTTGAGAGGAATGAATAAGAATAGGGAATTTCAAGTGAAATGAATGCAAGACATTTTGTACAGAAACCTAGATACTTTCTTTGTCAAAAGCATTCTGAACAATCTGGGACAGTGATGTTTAGGTGCTTGTGGTCCCAGGTGCTCATTGCATCCTCCTAAAATGTCATGTGCCAATAATCTGACTCTAATGAAAGAAAGTCAAGGAAACCTACAGTTCATAAAGCTAAATTATGCTAAAGATAAAAATATAGCTGAAGAGTTACATTTTCAATCCTCTCTTGCAACTTGAGCTAAGCTTTGCCTTGAGGTCTCCTTTTAAAGCTTTCACTATGTGGCAGCTCATATACAGCAAAGCTCACCTTAATTTATCAAGGAGCCAAGACCTTGATCCAACATCCCAGGTTCTGCAGGGCTTATTACTCTATAAAAAAGGGCTTGTATTGTAAAAACAAAGTGCTTTACACAGCATTCTTTGTCAATATCTCATGCTCTTTCTAAAACGATTAGCAAAATTTTATGTAAAGTATACATTCACTTAGTAAAAGCTCGAGCTATGTAGAGAGCATTTTGGTACTTTTGTACTTTTTTGACATATAAATTTGATAAAATTTTTGGAAGGAATTTAAAATAGTATAGATAAAGCAAACAAAGTGAACACAGGTGTCATCTTAAAGCACCAATAACAGTTTCACAATAACTGCAGATTATTATGTGATCTTGCAATGATGATAGCTTTGAGTCGCTTGTAGAGGAAGAGATGCTACCTCTGTAGAACAGGGTGTGTGTTTGTGCACATGAAAATGTGTGTGTGTGTGTGTGTGTGTGTGTGTGTGGGGGGGGGGGGGAGATGAAGCCAGAGAGGCAAACACAAACATTTATTTACATATAGATAGAATGGATGAAAACATATTTATTTCACTTGTCTAAAGTACCTGTATCCCTTATAAGCAATTTGATGGTTAATTACTACTGTCATCAAGGACCTTGCTTAGGAATTGCATATTTGCAGTTTCCTTTTTGTGCGTTCCCAGTATTTTAGACAAAAGGCAGGACTGCCATTTCCATCCTGCCTTAGATCTCATGAAATGAATTTAGTCTCAAAATGTATCAGCTTTTGACCACAGACACCGATAGCTGCAAATCTTTAATTCACACAGCATGTAAAAGAAGCCCCACAATGATCCTGCTTTCAAACGTACCTCCAAATGTTCTAAAATATAGGGGGGATTTGTCATGCCAAGTCGCAGCATTGCTCCCTCAGGGATCACTTCAACCAGTTTCCACAGGAGAGTAGGGAGGTCTATGCCAATATCTCTTCCATAAGCCCCTGTGTCTTCGCTGGTCAGCCATATCTCGCATACCCCTTCTGTCAATGGGAGGAGGTGGGGGGAGAAAGAGAGAGATAATTAACAAATCTGCTTCTGCGCTTGTTATTTTATCATACAGCTGCTCACTCTTTTTTAAATGCACTACTTCATAAGCCTAACTATTATGCAGCCAGACTGGGTATTCAATTGCAGAGAAAGAGAGGCATATCCCTTGGGTAGTGGTGGGTTACCGAGTTCATTTTATGAGCACCAGAGTGCTACAACAATGCTATAAATTATTGCTTTGGCAAGATTAACATTCACAGCCAGTGACTAATGTGAGACGCCTTTTTAATACAACTCAGACAGGAGTTAGACTGCACTCCCAAGACTATCTGGCTTATTAAGCCCCATGAGCAATGCTGCTCAAGCAAGTGCTACAGAGCACTGGTCAAACTGCAAACAGCTAGCTGACTAATTGTCTAGTTAACAGCCTGTAAAAGTCCAAGTACATAGGGCTCAAACCAGCCAACTGCTTATGATATTGCTTATCATTTACAGTGAAACAACTGTTACAGACCGAAGCCCTTACATGAGATTTACAAGGCTATATTAAAATTCATTCATTTTAAAATGTCAGTCAGTGGAGAAACATAGGATGGAGAACATGCATTTCTGAGCAGCTAATGCTCATACATTATCGGTCCTCTAGAATGCAATATTTTATTTGCAACTTCAAAAAATATAGTTCTTGAACTTCCACACTGAGTAACATCTTCTGTTCCAAGAAATGACTGTTATGGGGTCCACCCATCCATCATGATTTGTCACTAAGAGAAGTGCCTGTAATCTCTTACTTTAAAAAGTACATGTGTCTGAACAATAGCTTGAACTTGTAAGGATGCTATCAGGAAGGTTAAAAGCCAGAAAAAACTTAGATGCTGAAAACAGGAAAGGAGTTGCTTTGACTATGTGTGGAGCAAGAAGGAGGAGGCATAGGTCTGCTGGTTACAGAAGGTGGAGAATACTAGTCATTAGGAAAAACAAACTAGAGGATGGCATTACATTTGCATCGTGCTTGTGAGCTTTCCTTAAAGATCTGGTTGGCCAATGTGGGGACAAAATACTCAACAAAATAGGACTTTGTCTGATCCAGCACAGTTGCTCTTGTATTCTTAAGCAGTAACAGGTAATAGAGAGAATACAGAACCAATCCACTGCTATTTTGCCTCTATCATCTTCCTCAAGAGGGATTGCATTTGACCTAGGAAAAACAGAACAATGTCCTACTGTGACTGGGTCAGCCACAGCATTAAGGCAATTGAGGGGCAAATCCAATGACAAGTCAGTAAGAAGGTGAACAATCTAGCAATGAGGTAGCAGTTCAGCAATGCTAAAGGGCTTAGGCACTCTCTTACCATGCAGAAGAGAGAGCTCCAAGAGTAGACTGAATTATGGTCAAGGTCTGAACACAGAGAAGCAGATTCAAATGCAGAAGATGAAGATTACTCAAGCAAGAATTTAAGGCATTCAAAGCGGAGCTAAGGTGTTGTTCTAGCCATGGCTAGACTAGGACTGGAGACCTGTGTAACTGGAGCAGTCACAGCCCCATCCAGGGCTCAGCTGCAAGCATGCAGTTCTTGGCCTGGGCGTGGTGAAGCTTGTATCTTCAGGCTCCAGTGTTCCAAGGTGCCAAGGGGTAGTTAGCATCCCCTGCTGACTCGGGAACATAGCATTTTACCTTCCATGGGAAAGATGTGAAACCCTCTTCTGAGAACCCACTGCCTTCTTGGGCAGCTCCAGAGCTCCCTGAAGTGGGTTGTTCCCCAGAGACATCCCCACAAGAAGCTCCAGCTCATCTTCTGAAGAGGACTCCTTGAAGCATGATAAGAAAGCAATATAAGGAGGTGGTGTGCTTGACACGATATAGTTAGAGAACATCCATCTACCTCAAATGAGTGGAGTCTTCAGAGCCAGATGAATTATACATCAGAGTGCTAAAAGAGTTTGAGAATGCTATTTTAGACTTGCTGTCTGTACTTTATGGTGCTTTCTAAGAGGAAGGGTGAAATGCTAGTAGACTGGAGACAAGCAGAAGGGGTGGGGAAAGTAGATCTAGGAAATTACAGAAAGATCAGCCTTACATTTACACTGGGCAAAAATCTAGTATAGATTTCTGAACAGTCCGTACATGACCATCTAAAAAAGAACACATTGATTAACAGAAGTCAACTTAGGTTCATCAAGGATAAATCATCCAGACCAACGTAATTTCCTTGTTTAGATATTGTTATCAGTATGGTAAAATATAGGATGTGGTAGGCATAGTGTATATTGATTAGGACAAAGCATTTAACAATGAGACAAGATAACATGTAAGTTGGCTGGGCAATCTTAATGTCGGGAGAGGGCACAGGTTTAACAACAGTATCTAATGACTGCTAATTAATGCTTGTGTGTCAACCTGGGGTAAAGTGCTTAGTGGAATTGTGCATTGCTGTCTATAACTCATATAAGAGTTATATGGAGGGTAGAGGGGATGCTTATCTAACTGGGAGGAGTAGCTAATACCAAAGAAGACATAATGAAGAATTAAAATAGTATTTACAGACTGGAATTCTGGGCTGCAACCTCCCAACAAGATGAAATTGAACACAAATAAATATAAAGACTTGCATTTGTGTACAACAAATCAAAGAAATGAGCACAGAATGAGGGAAACATGTGAAAAATATCCATGTATCTTAGGGCACAGCCAAATCCAGATGCCAGTAACACTCTAAACTCAGAGGATTATGGACATCCTATGCAAGACAGAAAAAAAAAACATGGAGGTGAAGGTCACCTCCATCGTCTAGACAGTGTCTAGAAGCTGTAGAATTGTTCTGATAGTTGATCAAAGCAGGACATGAGTCAGCAGTGTGATGTGACTGCCAAAAATGGTAATGCAATCTTAGACTGCATGAAAAGTAGTGCCCAATGGTGATAAGCAAGAACCCTACCACCATGCAAACAATAAAGGGTTTCTTCGAGGTTGTAAAACTACTCACATATGCAGAACTAACTTTTGTACCAGGGAGCCTTTGCCTATCTGAGGGTTCCCTGTATGATTTCGAAACCTGATTTCCCAGAGTTTCAAACTGCACAGGACATCTCCAAGAAGATAAAAGACTCCTTGCAGCAAAAATGATCACACATTACGTAAGCAATCTGGAAGAGTCACAAAACTTTGGGCATCAGGCTCAAGTCATAGCCCTGCAGCCCCTTGCACTAAGAAACATCTACATAGGGTTTTAGTTCCGTATTTGTTCTATGCTTGTCCAGACACATCTGGAATACTATATCAAGTTAAATAATAGAACTGATGACCTTGGGAGATAATGGATTCTCTTGCACTTGGACAGCCATCAGGGATGTTGCATTGTATCCAGCATTATAGATCCCACCCTGAACAAGGAAGCTGGACCCCTTCCAACTCTAGGATCCTATTGCACTAGAGTCCCTGCTATGCCTGTTCTGGCTTACTATCTTGATTATTAAACCAACACTGGTTTGGTGATAATGGGAAGCTGTAATAAAATGCAAGCCAAGAATGAATTACCAAAGTTAGTGCATGAGGGATGGAGAGGTGGAAGGAAAACACAAAAAAAAAAAAAAAAAAAAAAAAAAAAAAAAAAAATTCAACCTAAACCATGGCTTATGAAGCCATAAAAGTTAATTTGAACCAGGCCATTATATTTCTCCTCCACCCACCCCCAAAAAATCCACTCTCCATTTTAATCAGTAATATTGCCAGACACATTATATGAGGGGAAAAATAAATCAAACACCAGTTTAAAAAGCTGGATACAAAACTGTTCTTAAAACAAATCATAAGCAGGACATTCACCTCTATTTTCCAGTTGCAAGCATTCATCAAACCAATATGTAATCTTTTAAAAATGAAGAGCAATCTTAATTTATAATTTTCCAACCAAATGGTTCCATGTTTTTGACCTGTGAAGAGGGTTCTTGGAATTCTGCCCTGCTGGTGCCAGGTGAGTGTAAAGGAATAGTCACTATGAATAGAAATTAAAACAATATTCACACATGGAAAAAAACAACCTTCTCTGAAATCTGGATAGGTGGGAATCATTAACCCCCTGGTGAGCTGAAAATTAAATCACCTAAAGAGGAAGCAGCTGTAACAGTAAATTACCAACAACAGGAATAACCATCATTAACTCTCTAGCATCAGGAATTTAAATAACAAGGGAATGCCTATGATTCATGCAGGCAGAAATGCAAACTTCGGAAGAAACCTCTTCTTACCCTTTTCCTCTTTACATCAAAAGCATCAATTCAGTATTGGGCCAAATATCACTAAAGAAGCTTAATTATGGTTCAGTACAATATCTGAACTAGCAAACCATGGTCCTGTTATTCACTGACAAACTAGGATCAAAAGCCTGCCTCAAAGTGGGTTTCCAAACCATGATGTATGCTAACTATACTCTGGTGTGATGTATGCATTAATAAAGCATATTTATGGATCTCAAGAACCTGGACCAATGAACAGATCAAAAATGAAAGCAGACAAACAGCTCAAACCCATCATTTGTCTTAAACTCAAGCCATCATTTATGCAATACCCGTGCTGAAGTACTCTTGAAATCTTTCAGCTTATTTCCTACAGGGCCCAGCTACTATATTATCTGTATGGCCCAGATTCCAACAGGAAAAATTACATATATAAGGATAACGCTAGCACTGTTTCAAGCCTGGAAAGAGAGGGCTAATTTCCACAACACAGTGCACATTCTGTGCACACCCCACAACACCCCACTCACACCAAATGATTGACAGCAATGTTTGCATCACTTGAAGATTCAAAACTATCTTCAAAGAAAGCCCCTCAGAAATAATATTACAGTGATCGGTCCTCATCATTATGAACATATATATGATAAACTGGAGAATTTTCATTTTCCAGGGATGGGATAGCAGGCAAATCAGAGAGGAAAACCATCACAGACAAATCCACCCTGAATAGCCTTGAATTTTCACTTTAGCACAATCT